AGCCAAGCCCTAATGCAAGACTTAGACCCAAAAGGTTATAACTATAAAAAATGATCAGAGGTCTGATCCAAACACAACAGGACCTTTGATTTTATTACATCCTCATAGTGTTCAAAGATGGACAATTTGACTCCACAATTCTGCAGCTACTTTGTATTAATGTGAGAATCAGGGGTTAAATCTGCCATTCAGTTTTGGACAGTTTAGCAGTCTGTTCCACTCCTAATTCTAGTTTTGGTTTAGTTTGCTGTTTGGATTACTATCAAAATATAAGTTTGTTTGTTAAACTGAATGTTTTTCAGTGGAGGAAAATGAAGTTTTTCCAGGCTGTGAATTCCCAAGTTCCCCTGCCTTTCCCAGGAGCCCTTCACTCTATGACAACAGGTACATTTCACAGCTTTTAATTACCTACCTGAACTTTGATTAGACTAAGATAAAAGGCATAAAATTTGTGGAGCCCATACTGGTAAACAAGATATTATTTGAGAAGACTTTCTAAGTTAGTTTGGGCTAATAATTGACTGAATACTTGGACAAAGAAGAAAATCTCAGCACCCAAGAGCTGAATATGATTTTTTCATATTTTTAAATGAACTTAAATTTCCAAACTCTGTTTCATTTGGTGCAAATTTTTCAATCTAATGCTAAAAATGTATTTTTTATGGAAGTGATTGTCAAAGCAGTGATACAAATTGATGTGTAAACCCCACTGAGAAAGTGAGGATCAAAGCAGCACTCGTGAAGAAATCAGTGCATACCTCACAAAATCTGGCTCCTACCTGTGTTTGAGAGGAATTCTCCTCTCCTCTGCAAATTCAGGTTAGGTTTCTGCCTCCCAGCAGTGACCTGACCACCAGCCCCTTCAACTGGAACAGTCCCACTTTGTAAAATATCCTTAAATATTCATGGAGCCAGCTGGTGAGAGAAAAAACAATGCTGCAGTCTGATGGCTCAGTAAACCTCCTGGGGAGGGTGGAGGTGTTAGTCCCAGTCCCAGTGAATGTGTCATTATTTACACAAAGTGGAACAGTGTCAACAGCAGAAGTGACAAGTCCTGTCTCCCAAAACGTTTCCTTGAAGGAATGAAGAAGTCTAGAGAAACAATAATGCATTGCCAGAAAGCTGCCAGGTATAGTTAACAACGGCTTAAACAAACTCTTAAAATAATTTACAGATTATTCCTGAAATAGCAGAGCTTTTGGATGAATAGATGTTCTTCCACATCTCTGAGACAGACCTTGTTCCTCATATTAAGTGAACAGACCTTTCATCCTCCAAAGCAAAACAGCTCTTAATATAGCAATCAGTGAGAACATATTTTAGGAACTTAGTATCTCCTAACATCACACCCCCATCCTTGCTCCTACGGACACCAGTGGAAACAGACCCAGTATTTACCTGTGCCACAAGCAGATCTGTCTCTTGGAGAATGCTGCTCTATAATGGGTTGTGTCTGGCTGGAATAAAGAGCTGTTGAGCCCTGCCTGCCAGGGGAACAGTCCTGGCTGGCTGGAGCTCCAGCAGGGAGGTTTCTCAGGGTGCTTCAACAAAGGCATCGCCCAGGCACCGTTCTGAGCCACTGACCAGTTTCACTGCACCAGCTGAAAAGGCAGGCAATGTTTCAGGCAACAAGTTCTCCTTCAGGGCTAAGGCAGAAGGGGTGAAGCTGTAAGCTCCGTGCAGGCTGAGGGGAACTGCTCTCACTTGAGAGATCTCAGGTTGTGCATCAGACAAGGCGTCACAGTTTTCTTACACTTTCTTACATTTAGTGTGAGTTTCCATCAGAGAACTCAAAAATGCACTGATGGTTCCAGTGCATCTGTCTGACCTGCAGACGCCCAGGCCCGGCCTGACAAAAAATGGCATCAGGAATGAGAAATTCCCCAGCTCTGGCTTTAATAAAGGAGTAAAAAACCCCAAGTGGTTTAAAGCTTTAGTCACCAAAGCCAGAGCTCTCTGAAAATTGTTTTCAAAGCTCAGCTGTAAACAGTGTAGTAATTCATGATACAGTAAGCATAGAGTCATATCCCTTTGTTAGTCACATGTTTTGCCAATAAAATGACTTTCAGAAAACAAAGAAAATTTCACAGTAGAAGACCTCTCAGAGGACTGTATAATTAAAGCACAGTAGTGTCTGACATCTGGAAAGAAATTCTTGACTGCAGAGCAATAAATGACCTGTAACCTTTAAATCATATTTTCAGGTAAAAGATTTTCAAGGAAAATTTTTAAGGAAAGTCGCTGTAAAAGCAGAGAAGTCCCTGTCTTGAAACTCAGAGATGGAAGGGACATAGCAGAGTTCTGCATCTACAAGTCTTGTGTAAAAGCTATGGAAGAACAAGCAGCTGCCAGCAAGAGGTAAGAATCCCCCAATTTATATTATGACGAATACTCAAAACTATTTTTTTTAATTATTTTGTTTATTTTTGCTTAGTCCCAAAGCAACTGATACTTCTGCCACTTGATCTCTTCATGGAAGTAATTTAAGGGAATGTGAGATTTTTCGAGAGAATTCTTTGAATTAAGGCATAATGTGGGGAAAGTTTTATTTCCCTATTACATTCCTATTTCTTCTACCGTGTTCCCATCATAAAATAAAAACCTTTCAATACACACTCATAAGTGAGGTCTGAAATTAGAGATTTAGCATCAGCTAACCCTGTAGATGGTTGTCTTTCCCACATATAAAGAGCCGTGTAAAACCCCCGAGTTCTGGGCGCACTGTGACAGTTTGTGGAAGAGGAATTGTAAATATGCTGCTGAAACTCACCCTGCTCAATCCCGTCACAGAGTGTTGGAGATGAGAAACCTCCCCAACATTTGAAGCCTTTCTGTTCTGTTCTGCACTGAAGGAGTCTGAGCTGAAAAAACAGGGCTTCAAGCATCAAATTTGCAAAGAGGAGAGGATGAGAAAGTGAAGTTGGGTCAGAAAGAGTGAAGGAATAAATGAAAGGAAGAAAATAGCACAGTAAAGAGATTTGGAAACACTTTGATGAGGTGCTAGGTCTGCAGTGAGGCTGGTGACTTGCACAAGGTGTAGGGGTCACTGGGCAGCTTGCACAGGAACTCACACTGGGAAACATTTTCCCATATGTTGGTGGTAAATGAGAAAGGAGTGGACCAGGCTCATTCACATCCCAGCTCCTACAGGGGCTGTGGAGATCATCTGACAGCCTGAGGGCAGCTCTGCACTGTGCCTGTGCCCAGAGCAGGCGTGTTTGAGGGCTGAGCAGTGGACAGCAAAGCACAGCTGTCTCAGAGGTGCTGTGTGATCTTGGGCTGCAGGTGGGGAGTGAAGCATCACCGGCCAAAATGAATCTGAGCTCCACAGGAGAGCTCGAAGGCCATGGCGAGCCAAGAGCTGCTGTCTGCGCTGTCACTGAGCAGCAAGGATGAGTGGCAGCCCTGCTTTACAAACAGCACTGCTAATCCAACAGCTCCTGCTGTAAACTAGCAAGCAGAGACTGAGTAATAGCACTGTTATGGTACTTCAATTAACATTGCAATGTTAGAGCCAAAAAGGGACTGCAGTATTTCAGAAAGCACTTTTTAATGCTTTAGGTGTCGAAATCCGTAGCGTGAAATTTCTGTGCATTGTTTGGCGTTAGCTGGAATATGGTAGGTAGGCTGCATGAACGTGGATCTGAAAACTGGCAGATTAAAGAAGTCATTCACATCCAGTAGGCACAGGTCAGCTGTGGCAGGATGGGCGGGTGGGTGTGTTCCTCGTGGTTGACTCAGACTGCATCAGCGCTGCTCCCTCTCACTTGCCCTGAATTTGTCCTGAGAAATCCTCACAGAATGTTCTGGGCCAGGAAGGAGCCATTTCTGAGCGAGTGACTTTCAACTGCTCAACTTTGCGGCCTTCCAGGCGCCGGAGGGTGAAGTCCTGCATGAAAGGATACCTCCAGAATTTTTTTTACTCATTGGCTGATTTGTTTCTTTGTCAACATGGCGAGATGCACACTCCCGCTCTGCCTGACTCACGCACACTTTATATTCCAGGAATGCCTAAGAAGGCAGCGTCATCCCCTTCAAAACAGTTTTTCTTTTCATACGGGATTATATCAGCAAGCAGCTGCCTCTAAGGCATTATTTTTGCCAGGCGGTCGGGCTCTCCGTGCCAGCTTTTTGCCGAGAGCGTTTGCTGCGTGGATGGAGCATCCCTTGGAGACGAGGAGGCAGCGGAGGTGCCCGGTGTCGAGCAGACACAGGGGCAGCGCTCGGAGCAGCGGGGCGGGCAGGGCGGAGGGGCCGCTGTGCTCCCTCCGTGCCCCGCAGATGGGGATACATCGGCAGCTGCCACGGAAAACACGGAGAACACGAGTCCGTGCCGGAGCCGTGCCCTGCTCTCCCGGCTGGCCGAGGCTCCCGGCTCGGGAGCGGTCTGAGCGCTCCTCCTGCCGGCCCCGCTCCCAAAACCTCTGCGGAGCCCGAATTACCTGCTGGTTTTCAATAGATGGGAATAATTTTTTTTTTTTATTTTTTTTTTTTTAGTTCATTTCAGGCTGGTGAAAGTGAGGATTCAATCAAACTCAGACTGCAGAGCACTGACTGCTTGACTGCTGAGTTAAAGACTGGGTTTTTTTCTTCAACCTTGTCTAGGAAACTCCTGCTGGTTGACCTCAGCGTCCTTCATGGCTCTGCTGGGCACAGACTAACGCTGCAGAACCTTCCTCTGAACAGCAGGCCTGAATCTCTTTATTCCAGGTTCGCTTGGCACAGCAGGCAGGCCGGGCTGGCACTGCCTGGTTCTCAGGCTGTTTGAGTCCTGCGTGGGGCAGCCCTGGTGGGATCAGATGGCTCCGTGCCACGCAGGGACCAGTGCAGCGTGGAGATGTCCTGTGCCACACTGCACCCCTGCTGCATCCTCTGTGCCGGCACTGGAGGGATGTGAGGGGGGAACAGCAGGGTAGGAGAGCTTTTTCCAAGTCTCCAGCCTGTTTGAGCCTTCCAGGCAAAATGCCAAGGGAAGAGAATTGAGTCTGGTGCTTGTCTGTGAATTTAGCTCAGGAATTACTTTGGAAGGGAACCTCGCCACTGCTGATCTATTATGGTGCACATGGGAAGCTGACACCTTAGAGAATTCATTGACCAGCCTGTTTGTTGCAGATTGTTTCATTCATGAGCTCCTGAGGGACTGAAATGGCTTTTAAAACAAAAAGTATTGAGTAATGGCTTTTAAAACAAAGAGTATTGAGTAATAAGCTGGAAGTCATTCATGTCTGGGACATACCTGGCAGTTCTGCCATGACACTGAAGCTAGAGATTGTGACACTTCCAGAGCCTGAAAATCACAAACATTTCTGAGCTATATGTGCATATTTGGCTAATGAATAACATTCCTTGGGGTGACTTAAAAGCAGCAATAAACTGGTTTTGATACTACCAGATGAACATCTAGTGCTTTCCACAGAGGACTCGCACTCCGAGCCACAGCTGCTGTCCAGGGGAGAGGGCCAGATTCACTGCAGGTCCTCAGTAACTCAGCTTGGAGAAAGTCACTGTGACTTTGAGAAGAGAGCACAGTGATTACTTCACTTTGTAATATTTGTAAGTCCACCAGGTCATTTGCTTTGTGCAAACCCACGCAACAAGCCTGCCAGCAAAGTCAAAATCCACAAATGGTTTAAACCCTGTGAGATGAGTTTGTCCCCTTTCCCCCCTTTCATAAGGAAATGTCTCGTTGGTAACAGCTGGAGACCCCAAACGAGTATGTGGGGCACTCCCAGCTTTTTGATGAATGTTGCTGTCTGAACATATTTACCATGTCAGTAATTCAGCCCTGTGCCTGAATGCAGGAATTTACCAATCACAGAGTAACTGTCATGGAGGTGTGTGCTATTTTCCATTCATTTTATCAGTTCACTGTATCCCTTGGATTGCTGATGGGCTCAGTAGCAGCAGATCTGAGCAGGCACTGGCTGTATATTCCCTCTGAGGTGGTGGGGCTGCTGAGTGCTGAGCTAGCTGTGACTTCATGTGGTATTAACAACCTGAGTATTGCATTTGAGCAGGCTTTCCATTCTGGAATACCCTCAGTCCCCTTTGTTTCACTGAAATCAGTTAAATTACTTTTTCATCATCCAAAGTACATCTGAAGTTTACAGTAAAGGAGATGGCATGCAGTTGGAGCAGAGTAGCTGCAGTTTGAAGGAATATGCTCTATTGTTAGGGACAAAGGTATTCTTCATAGAATATATAGCTCCTGTGTTTAATCTTTCAGTCTATATAATACAGAAGTAAATACTCATTTTAATTAAGTTGGCTAATGAATGTATTTGACAGCGCTCAGTGATTCTGGTTACTGTTCCAAACTGGTTTTCTCCAACCTACCAGACTTTCTACCAGACTACAAGAAAGACTGTTGGGATGACACAACTGGGGCAGACAGAGAACGTGCAGTTTTGTTCCATTGCCAAGCTGGTGCATTTCTAATTTTACATATGTATTTTGCTCTTTGTTTTGTATTAAAATCTTCAGACAATGACCTGAAAGGAGAAATGCTTTGAAGTGCTAAGGCTGAGTGGGGAATGCGAGCCTTGGGTGTCAGGGGTAGGACACTGCCT